TTGGGGGCAGAGAACGGTGGGGTATTATTTTATATGGGGGGAGGCAGAGAACAGGGGGGAGGGTATTTATTTTATATGTGGGGATGTGGAGGGCCGCAATGTTTACATTGCTTTATCTTAATATTGTTGTTGTTAATATTTATTTTTGTAACTTTATTCTGCCTTCAACATTTAAAAGTGTAATTTCATAAGATAATTTAAGAGGGTGGGTTTAGGGGCAGAGTTAAGGCCGAGGCAGGGTTGGGGTTAGGTGGGGCAACTAGTGGCGAGTAACTCTTAAGGCCTGGCTAGTAGCTCAGGACTTGAAATTTTGAGCCCTGGCCTACATGATCACACACCATGATGCTGGTCCTCCTTCCAAGTGGCCAGACAATGGATGAGCACACTGTGTGAGCCACCAACATATGTATGCTGAAGAAAGTGGAGACCTAGGCTTTCAAATGCTAGTCTGCCGTGTAAATAAGACATTAAGCAAGAAATAATTTCTGTTTACATTTATAAAGCGGCTTTTATTTCCCTAATTATATAGTATGCAAATAATCATGTATTAAATCAATACTTCTTTATTAATATATCGCTAGATAAAAAGCTCCAAAGCTGCTTAACTATAGGTTTAGATTTGCTAGACACTGTGTGATAGATGTTAATCATATTCTTAATTCTTGTTTTTCTCTGCACAGGGTCTCTGGTGGAACAAGCTACTACCTGAACTGTGTTCTCGCATTCGAAAAAATGGGAAAGATAATGACATTTTTATTTCATCCCTAAGAGGTGAGAGGGCATGGCCCCTGTTGTCTTTAAGTCTTTTTTTGCATGGATAAAGTGGGGTATGGGTTAGATTCTGTGTCGGGTTTTAGTATTTACTGTGGTCCTAATGAGAATGTATCTGGTTTCCTGTCATAGCATTACTGCGATAGGAAGTGAGGGGAAATCTTCTATGGGAACACAGGTCAATAAAAAGTTGACATACTTTTTACCCTCCCTCAACTCTGCTAAAAATAAATGTTTTTATTGCTGCCGCGCCCATATTATGGATATTATTATATTATGTTATTATTATATGGAACTAGGATTAAACAAATCAATTTGCACATAAGGCGAACTGATGGAACACAAATGGTTTAAAATTGCCTAAATATATTTACAGGCAATCAGCCCAGTTGATGGAAAGCCATCTGTTGTCACTGATTTGTGTATA